GTACACTACACATATATATCCTCCGTACCAAACATCAACATCCTGTACACTACACATATATACCCTCCGTACCAAACATCAACATCCTGTACACTACACATATATATCTTCCGTACCAAACATCAACATCCTGTACACTACACATATATACCCTCCGTACCAAACATCAACATCCTGTACACTACACATATATATCTTCCGTACCAAACATCAACATCCTGTACACTACACATATATATACCATACATCAACATACTACACTCCTCCGTACCAAGCATCAACATCCTCTACGCTACACATATATACCCTCCGTACCAAACATCAACATCCTGTACACTACACATATATATCCTCCGTACCAAACATCAACATCCTGTACACTACACATATATATCCTCCATACCAAACATCAACATCCTGTACACTACACATATATATCTTCCGTACCAAACATCAACATCCTGTACACTACACATATATATCTTCCGTACCAAACATCAACATCCTGTACACTACACATATATATCTTCCGTACCAAACATCAACATCCTCTACACTACACATATATATCCTCCATACCAAACATCAACATCCTGTACACTACACATATATGTCCTCCGTACCAAACATCAACATCCTCTACGCTACACATATATACCCTCCGTACCAAACATCAACATCCTGTACACTACACATATATATCCTCCGTACAAACATCAACATACACTACACATCCTGTACTGACACATATATACGTAAACATCAACATCCTGTACACTACACATATATATCTTCCGTACCAAACATAAACTTCCTGTACACGAGACATATATACCATCCGTACCTAACATCAACATCCTGTACACTACACATATATATCTTCCGTACCAAACATCAACATCCTACGACTAATCTTTCCTACTGTACAATACTGACGACCATTTACGGTGAAATCTTTCCTACTGAATGAAGTACGGTGAAATCTGACGACCATTTAAAGTGAAATCTTTCCTACTGAATGAAGTACAATCTGACGACCATTTAAAGTGAAATCTTTCCTACTGAATGAAGTACAATCTGACGACCATTTATGAAGTGAAATCTTTCCTACTGAATGAAGTACAATCTGACGACCATTTACGGTGAAATCTTTCCTACTGAATGAAGTACAATCTGACGACCATTTAAAGTGAAATCTTTCCTACTGAATGAAGTACAATAAAGTGAAATCTTTCCGTGTACAATCTGTACGACCATTTACGGTGAAATCTTTCCTACTGAATGAAGTACAATCTGACGACCATTTAAAGTGAAATCTTTCCTACTGAATGAAGTACAATCTGACGACCATTTACGGTGAAATCTTTCCTACTGAATGAAGTACAATCTGACGACCATTTACGGTGAAATCTTTCCTACTGAATGAAGTACAATCTGACGACCATTTAAAGTGAAATCTTTCCTACTGAATGAAGTACAATCTGACGACCATTTAAAGTGAAATCTTTCCTACTGAATGAAGTACAATCTGACGACCATTTAAAGTGAAATCTTTCCTACTGAATGAAGTACAATCTGACGACCATTTAAAGTGAAATCTTTCCTACTGAATGAAGTACAATCTGACGACCATTTAAAGTGAAATCTTTCCTACTGAATGAAGTACAATCTGACGACCATTTAAAGTGAAATCTTTCCTACTGAATGAAGTACAATCTGACGACCATTTAAAGTGAAATCTTTCCTACTGAATGAAGTACAATCTGACGACCATTTAAAGTGAAATCTTTCCTACTGAATGAAGTACAATCTGACGACCATTTAAAGTGAAATCTTTCCTACTGAATGAAGTACAATCTGACGACCATTAAAAGTGAAATCTTTACTACTGAATGAAGAACAATCTGACGACCAATTAATTTGACGGTGAAATCTTTCCTACTGAATGAAGTACAATCTGACGACCATTTACGGTGAAATCTTTCCTACTGAATGAAGTACAATCTGACGACCATTTAAAGTGAAATCTTGAAATCCTACTGAATGAAGTACAATCTGACGACCATTTAAAGTGAAATCTTTCCTACTGAATGAAGTACAATCTGACGACCATTTACGGTGAAATCTTTCCTACTGAATGAAGTACAATCTGACGACCATTTACGGTGAAATCTTTCCTACTGAATGAAGTACAATCTGACGACCATTTAAAGTGAAACCATTTACGGTGAAATACGGTGAAATCTATCCTACTGAATGAATTACAATCTGACGACCATTTAAAGTGAAATCTTTCCTACTGACTGAAGTACAATCTGACGACCATTTAAAGTGAAATCTTTCCTACTGAATGAAGTACAATCTGACGACCATTTACGGTGAAATCTTTCCTACTGAAATCTTTCCTACTGAATGAAGTACAATCTGACGACCATTTAAAGTGAAATCTTTCCTACTGAATGAAGTACAATCTGACGACCATTTAAAGTGAAATCTTTCCTACTGAATGAAGTACAATCTGACGACCATTTAAAGTGAAATCTTTCCTACTGAATGAAGTACAATCTGACGACCATTTACGGTGAAATCTTTGACGACCATTTAAAGTGAAACTGAATGAAGTACAATCTGACGACCATTTAAAGTGAAATCTTTCCTACTGAATGAAGTACAATCTGACGACCATTTACGGTGAAATCTGAATTTACAATCTGACGACCATTTAAAGTGAAATGAACTGAATGAAGTACAATCTGACGACCATTTAAAGTGAAATCTTTCCTACTGAATGAAGTACAATCTGACGACCATTTACGGTGAAATCTTTCCTACTGAATGAAGTACAATCTGACGACCATTTAAAGTGAAATCTTTCCTACTGAATGAAGTACAATCTGACGACCATTTAAAGTGAAATCTTTCCTACTGAATGAAGTACAATCTGACGACCATTTACGGTGAAATCTTTCCTACTGAATGAAAATCTGACGACCATTTAAAGTCTTACAATCTGACGACCATTTAAAGTGAAATCTTTCCTACTGAATGAAGTACAATCTGACGACCATTTACGGTGAAATCTTTCCTACTGAATGAAGTACAATCTGACGACCATTTAAAGTGAAATCTTTCCTACTGAATGAAGTACAATCTGACGACCATTTAAAGTGAAATCTTTCCTACTGAATGAAGTACAATCTGACGACCATTAACGGTGAAATCTTTCCTACTGAATGAAGTACAATCTGACGACCATTTACGGTGAAATCTTTCCTACTGAATGAAGTACAATCTGACGACCATTTAAAGTGAAATCTTTCCTACTGAATGAAGTACAATCTGACGACCATTTAAAGTGAAATCTTTCCTACTGAATGAAGTACAATCTGACGACCATTTACGGTGAAATCTTTCCTACTGAATGAAGTACAATCTGACGACCATTTAAAGTGAAATCTTTCCGACTGAATGAAGTACAATCTGACGACCATTTACGGTGAAATCTTTCCTACTGAATGAAGTACAATCTGACGACCATTTAAAGTGAAATCTTTCCTACTGAATGAAGTACAATCTGACGACCATTTAAAGTGAAATCTTTCCTACTGAATGAAGTACAATCTGACGACCATTTACGGTGAAATCTTTCCTACTGAATGAAGTACAATCTGACGACCATTTAAAGTGAAATCTTTCCTACTGAATGAAGTACAATCTGACGACCATTTACGGTGAAATCTTTCCTACTGAATGAAGTACAATCTGACGACCGACTGACGACCATTTACGGTGAAATCTTTCCTACTGAATGAAGTACAATCTGACGACCATTTAAGGTGAAATCTTTCCTACTGAATGAAGTACAATCTGACGACCATTTAAAGTGAAATCTTTCCTACTGAATGAAGTACAATCTGACGACCATTTACGGTGAAATCTTTCCTACTGAATGAAGTACAATCTGACGACCATTTAAAGTGAAATCTTTCCTACTGAATGAAGTACAATCTGACGACCATTTACGGTGAAATCTTTCCTACTGAATGAAGTACAATCTGACGACCATTTAAAGTGAAATCTTTCCTACTGAATGAAGTACAATCTGACGACCATTTACGGTGAAATCTTTCCTACTGAATGAAGTACAATCTGACGACCATTTAAAGTGAAATCTTTCCTACTGAATGAAGTACAATCTGACGACCATTTACGGTGAAATCTTTCCTACTGAATGAAGTACAATCTGACGACCATTTAAAGTGAAATACTTTTAAAGTGAAATCTACTGAATGAAAATTTACAATCTGACGACCATTTAAAGTGAAATCTTTCCTACTGAATGAAGTACAATCTGACGACCATTTAAAGTGAAATCTTTCCTCTTTACAATCTGACGACCATTTTGAATGAAGTACAATCTGAGACCATTTACGGTGAAATCTTTCCTACTGAATGAAGTTTGACGACCATTTAAAGTGAAATCTTTCCTACTGAATGAAGTACAATCTAGTCCTTACAGATATAACCGACCATTTACGGTGAAATCTTTCTTTAGTGGGCTTCTAGCTATTTCCAATAACGAAATCGAAGTTATTCCCGATAATGCGTTCGCTAATTTGTCCTTACTTAAATATTTCAGGGCAAACGGAAACAAAATAACTCATATTCAAAACAACACTTTTATTGGACTGCGTCGCCTCAAGGTACTTGGTATGTCCGACAACAGGATAGAGATGCTTATTGGTGAAGCTTTCGAGGCTATTCCTGAGGTCAATTTTCTTGATTTGTCCAGAAATAAGATTTTAGTTATTCCTGACACAGTTTTCAGTACTTTGTGTAAACTCGAAATTCTTCGCCTCCGTGGAAATATGATAGCAGCCCTAACGGAAAATGTATTCAGTGGACTTCATAAACTAAGGTACATTTACTTAGAAGGAAACCGCATATCCGCCATTGCAGCTAATGTTTTCAATGATCTAGATGCCCTTCGGGCTCTCCATATGGCATACAATAAGATAACAAATCTTCCTGATAATGTGTTCAGTGGTTTATCCAAGCTTATCACCCTTGATCTAAGCAGAAATAGAATATCAGCAATCCCGGATAATATCTTCAGAGATCTAAATAAACTTAAGTTTCTGTCCTTACCTGGAAACAAGATCAGAAGCATTGCAAGTAAGGGATTCTTCGGATTACACAATATTGATTATATTAATCTTGATGAAAATGAATTGACAAATCTTCACGCAGACGTATTTGCTGGTTTACCACACCTCTATTTTTTAGACCTGTCTTCCAACAGGTTGACGGAATTACACGAGAAAGTATTTCTTGGAATAACCGGCCGTATTTTCCTTAAGTTAGATCATAACAAACTTCGCACCATTCCAACGCTACCACACAACATTAAACTGCTGGATGTTTCAGAAAATTTAATAACTAGTCTCCCCGTCGGAATCTTTTCAAATTGTAGTAAATTGTATTTGTTAAATCTAATTGGAAATGAAATTGAAATTACAAGAGATATCTTTCAAGGGTTAGACGATCTTAGGTATCTAATTACCGGAAACCCAACCATGTGTTGTATCAAACCCAAATCTGTGACTGATGAAAAATGTTTAGCGTTAGAACAATTAGGAACAGATTGCTTAGAAAGAGCAGTGTCGTGCCCAATAGCTAAAAGCGATGCAATTTCCTCGTGTACAAACTTGATAGGTTCTGACGTACTTCGAGTCTTCCTATGGATAATTGGACTTTGTGCTTTATTGGGAAACGTTGTCGTTATAGCCTATCGCGTGTTTATTGATAGAGATAATTTCAAAAACACGTATTCACTTTTTGTACTGAATCTGGGTATATCTGACCTTCTTATGGGAATTTATCTTCTTATCATAGGAATCGCTGATGCATATTATCAAGGTGTTTATGCATGGTATGATCAGTTCTGGAGACGAAGTATTTTTTGCACTATAGGTGGAGTGTTATCTTTCATATCTAGTGAGATGTCAACGTTCCTTATTCTTCTTGTGACACTTGACAGACTGATTGTCATAGTACTGCCATTGTCCCACCTCTCTAAGTGGAGAATCTCATGGATCCAGGCTATCCTTATCTCAGTGTTCTTCTGGACTTTTTCTATCATACTCAGTATCCTACCAATTGTGTCCTTCCAGTCATACTTCGAAGGCAAATTCTATTCTCAAGCTGGGGTGTGTCTCGCATTGCCACTACTAGGGGACGAACAACCAGGAGCTGAATATTCCTTCGCAGTATTTGTCTGCCTTAACAGCTTTGTTTTCGGCATAATAGTTGTTGGCCAAATTTGCATTTTAAAAACTATCAGAATGAAAACTAGAAACATCGCTTCATCAGTCACGATCAAACGAGAGAGGACAGTGGCGAAGACACTCTTCCTTGTGGTTGCATCCGACTTTTGTTGCTGGTTTCCAGTTGGTATCCTGGGTAAGCGATAACTATCGAAATGTAACCAAAATCAAAATTCAGATTACGAGAAGTTTCATCACGTGAAAACCAAATTGCTTGCATATTTTTTATTCAATCAACATGCAATTATCCAAGTTTTCAGTTACATTACATGATATTCCCAGCTCGGCTAAAATACGCAAAACTATACTTTCACGAAAATAAGTCTTTACACCCCACAAGAAAACTTGTCCTCATTTAATTGAACAATGATATGGTCAATCATGTTGTCCTTTACACATAAGGTGCAGTATTATGAATGGTTTGTGAGTTTGGATATCATATCACCGCATTGCAGTTCATGTTCTGCTCTGTCTGTAACGAACAGCTCAGATAGGGAAAACTGTTTAAATGAACAAATATGAAAAGAACATTGTATTACAAATATAGAGTAAGATACAAAAGAGCCAAACAATGAATTAAACTGCATCATATTGTTATCCTTCTCGGACTTGGCAGTTATTCTAGTGGTTCAGCAAATCCTAAGTCAAACTCCAAATTGGAAGCTGCACAAGTAAATATTGAGAATAGAATGAAAAAACAAAACAAAAACAAAACAAAAAAAAAAACAAAAAAGAGATAAATTTTTAAGTATTTTTAACCACTCAGAGGGACGTTGGTCAGGTTATATTGCATGACACACATATATACATGTACAATATGTGACTTCATAAATTAGGGTTATTTGTATATACTATGTTTAACTCTTAATTACACTAACAACATACTAAGTGTTAACATTGAAATAGATACGTTGTAAACACTAGGAATAAAAATCATTAATAAGATGTTTAATGTATAAACTGTAATCTTATTTCAGGGTTATTGGCTCGGTGCGGAATCCCAATCTCGAACGAAGCTTATGCCTGGGTGATAGTGTTTGTCCTACCTATCAATGCCGCCGTTAATCCGTTTCTCTACACTGTTACATCTTTTCTACGAAAGAGACAGAGAGTGAGTTACTTTTTACGAGAAATAAGTTCAAATTTAAAATACTTTCAAACTAATATATTTATAATCTTAAGTTTGAAAGAAAAAACCCTTACATATCAATATAATCATAATCCAAACTCCGATTCATTGAAGCTAGTGCAAGCTATGAACGAAATAAAGAGGAAGAGTAAAAGGGACATGCTTCATTAACGACACAAGCCATGCAAATCTTTGTCAATCCAAATACGTAATGTCAAGTTCTGAAATGAGAACAAAGTTAATAGCAAAGGAACTACCAGGAAAACGAACGATCACAAACAAAGAGAGAAAAAACGAACTCAAGTAAACAGCGAACGTCAGTGATGGAAGGGTCTCAAAAAACTACAAATGAAAAGAAAATTAATCGAAAAATTTAACAAAACATCGCAATTTGGGAAAAATGGAAGTAGACGACCCTCTGACGAGGCAGAATTAATCATTTTTAAAATGCGCAAAACTAAAAGAATGAATATTTTGCTTATTTCCTTGCAATTGCTCTTTGCAATTCTTCTTGCAAACTACATACCCTAATACAGAGTTTGATCTGAAATGGTTAGAAATTCACTCAGTGTCTTTTGTGACATCACAATGTCATAAAATTGTGACGTCATAAAAAAACAATTTACAGCTAATTTAAGTTACACAACCTTTCTTACACAGAACATGGATTCTATGAAATGGTGGTAATATGACTAAATTGATTAAACATGATAAATGAAATTATTAAATTATCCGCAGATTAGAAGAACTAGTAAGGTAGGTTAATAGTAAAAAAAACATTATAAAAGTTTGTAGATCTACAACTTCTTTGTAGTAAAATTTACAATGACATGATGTCATTTAGATTGCAGCTGAAGCAAAATAGCTTTTTTACGTATCCTTTATTTAGATTTATCAGGGAAACCTTTTCAAAAATACTTTCGTTAATATCAATGTAACTGTTTAATAATGTCGGATTTAATCCCCTATACTTTTCTAATTTTCCGACAGGAACAATATATAGCATCGATGACGTCAACAAAGCTTTTGAGACGTCAACCGGAGACAGTTGTGGTAGAGTCCACTGCACCATGAGGAAATGGAGGATGGTATAAAAGAAAGAAAAGAAAAAAAGAAATTAAAGGATTCCACCATGACATAAGATCATGTGTGGCGCGCGCCTGTGCCACTTACATGCTACAGGTAGCATTTATGTAATTTTTACTTTTCACAACAGACATTTGACTATCTTAAATGACATCACGCAATTGAAGTAGTGAAGAGACACCATTTAATAACCAGTTGATGTGTATTTCCTAGATGTTAAGTTATTTTTCACGAACGTAGCGAGTTAAAGTGCATTTATTACAAGTGAAACCTTTCTTGCCAGATACCTCTAACTTCATTTCCTATTCGTTGTTTGTAAATCGGTCATTTAAATGTTATTATACTTATATAAAAGACATTACTTTTAAAAATATGCTTAGAAACTAAAGAATGTGAAAGAATTTGTCGGGAAGAGATGCCATGCGATATCCTCATTTAATAATGCGCGGTTACATAGAGCGAAGAGTTTGAACTCAAATTCAAATTCTTTCATTTCGTAAACATTTACGTCTGATACAACACTGAAGAAAATTCAAATTTTTTTTACATGGTAATATTTACAATGTATACATAAAACTTTTAAATGTGGTTAGTTTGAAAATGATCATTTTATTACTGCTTATCATGGGAACCTTCTGTAAAGTTTTGTCAAAGTGTGTAAAATAAATTCATTGCTAAAACATTTGTTTTGTTTTGAGTTCCGTTATGTGTGACAACATGTGAAAGCAGTTACAATCTCAGGGTAACACCAGTTTTGAAAGCCACGACTTCGGGACTATACAAGATTTTTTTCTCACAGGGGCAAACGATATAATTCTGACGAAAAGAGTTTCGGGGCCAAGCCAAGGGAGATTTTGAGGTCAATAAAACCTTATACTTCTCACTTTTTATAATACTACACTAAACTGAATAAACCAACTCATTCTCAGTTTTCTTTTCACTCGTTGTGAACTATACTGGAGCGTGTTTCGTTAAGACAATAAAATATCCTTGAAATGACATCGCAACAATACTACTCGAGTAAAGTGGTAAAAGCAGAAGATTATTTACAGCAACATAACTCAATCTCCTTAAAACACATCTTCACATTTCATCTCACAAATATATAGAGTTCGTTCATTTGATAACATTTAATAATATATGTTGTAAAACCGCTGAGCAAAACGAAACTTAAACAAACTTCTGGCTTGTTAAAATACTGATTAGCAGCATATTATATGTTTGTATATGAACGGCCTTGGTTATTTTGAGGCGGGGTCTCTTTGTAGTAGCTGGGGGCTACCTGACTGAACAACATATGTGAGGTCCGTCACATGTAATACACCAGCATCTATAGATCTATCGTCTCCTGGCTTATGGCTGAATTCTAAGTGGAGACTAATATAAAGCCTTCGCTGATTTCAGATGTGTTCTCTGATACGACAATGAAGAAAATCGTTTATAAAATGAACAGCTTTGGCAATTAGGTAGGTCCGACGCATTAAGAGACTGAATATTTCTAACATGAAGATATACACAAAACTGCATTTCAAAGTTTAAAAATACGATAAAGTTAACCATCTATGAAAGGTTTCACAGTAGTGACTAAATTGGATCGTTATGTTCATAAATTATTGAAAAGAGCATGTTTAAACTCTGGCATACAAATAAAAACGGATTATAAGAGCACGCACCCTCCCCAATTTATAGCGCCATCACACTGAAATGACATGTCCTCCTTTCTAACGCGTGGCTAATATGAAACAATTTATTCACACAGTTATCATACAATGCACACAAGATATATCAATTTTATACCATGCCATGGAGGTTCAGTTATCATACCATGCACACAAGATTTATCACTTTTATACCATGTCATGGAGGTTCAGTTATCATACCATGCACACAAGATTTATCACTTTTATACCATGTCATGGAGGTTCAGTTATCATACCATGCACACAAGATTTATCAATTTTATACCATATTATCATACCATGCACACAAGATTTATCACTTTTATACCATGTCATGGAGGTTCAGTTATCATACCATGCACACAAGATATATCAATTTTAAACCATGTCATGGAGGGCCAGTTTATCACATTATGCGAGAGATTGTGTGGTATTAATCTCATAGCTATACACATATTTTTGGTTTGTTTTTTGTTTGTTTGTTTGTTTGTTTTGTTTTGTTTTGTTTTGTTTTGTATGTTTTGAGTTTTTGCCTTTGGAGAAAACAGTTAACTATCAAATAAGTATTACTTGTAAACATATCTTTTGATTACATTCAATATTTGTTACTGCGCGACACTGTCTATGTACACATACACAATACCACCATATTATGATAAACAGGAGAATTAAGTGAAATCATGTGCAAATGTATGTACACCGAGTGAGGATATAATCTGATTATCTACCACATCAAATACACGTTAACAACGGTGTTTTGAAGTACAGTAAATAATTTTACTGATATGTTTTTTGTTTATTTTGAGAACAGTTTTTTGTTTTTTAAGACAATTCAATATTTCATAAATAAGATTATAAGTTTATATGTTAAGGTTAATCATACATATACAATAACTAATATTTTCATTTCAATACATCTCTCAACTCTCTCTAATCTTATGAAAAAATAACAAATATGAATAGATCACTTTTAAAAGTCACTCAGGTGTGACATATGCCATGCGGGCCAAGTGATATTAAGTAATTGTTCGATGCAGGCTAAGTAACGAAAATGAACCGTATCTGTACATAACAAAACGAAGGGCGACAACTCTGGCGGAGTATGACGAAGGCTCATTATAGCTGCCCGTACATGATCCAAGAAAATATGTTTATTTACCTCCCAATGAGTGATACTGTTGCAAAAATAAATTTCAAACTACTGTAGTGTTCGATCTGTATCTGTGAAAAAGGTATTATCAATTAAGTCAAAACGGATGTCATCTGTGTTTTGTTTTCTCGGAAAAAAGATCATCTTTCTCTTCATCATAATTTATAATTTCATGAATCGTCCAAAGGATTTTTTAACAGCCCATGCGTACGTCGTTATAAATATGAACTTACTGAAAGTTTTGATAAGTTTCAACCTAACGCATAAGAGAGTAAATCAATTTAAACGATTAATTATACGACATATACATGTAGAATATTTTAGGCGAAAGAGAGCAGAAAACTTGATACCACAAGGAGTAGTAACTAGGTCACATACTTTTCGTTCAAATGCGTTAGTTACGAATTGTATTTAGAAAATTAGGTAGTGATATAAATGAAGAAAAATGTCACAAATATATAAATCTATAAGAACTAGTATGATTCACAACAGACGCTGCAATAACAGAACTAACAGCACCGCTGTTTGTACATTTCATGATGAGGTCTCTTCTGATCCTAAATTTCTGATATTTTGCTAAGATCATTGGACTTTTTTTTATGTAGATACGATGGAAATCTTCATAAATCGTAGCAGTAGAAAAGAACTAGGACAAAATTTAGGAACATACAAACTGCCCTTATTAAAAGTTACGTAACTCTGTCAAGATGTACGTAGACGTATAAAATTTATCTTCGATAGTTAAAATCGCTCACTCACGACGCTGTCGTACAGTTGACTTGTAAAGCATGAAGCGAGATTCGTCAATGAACAACACGCATCTCCTAGCGTCCAAACGAAACCGATTTGGGTTATATGCAAGCAGCCACTATTCGACGTTTGCGTCGCCTCTACGTATGTGGTGGACCAATGTAGGGACGTCGTGGCCTTAAATGAAACTCCTGCAACCCATTCCTAACCGTTCTTGGACACACTGGCCGACCATGAGTGTCGGCATCTTGGCATGCCGTCTCCGCCGCTGTCTGAAAACGGTTACGGAGGTGCCAGAGACGTATGCCTCTATCTTGACGTCGCGACGTAACGCGCAGGCGTCCTGAGACGGTCACCCAATCTCTCTGTGGCTCTGAGACGCCAAAATAAACGGAATATTGTTGTCTCGTGTACATTATGTTGCTAAGCTGTATGATGTTGCGAATGCACCTGCAATATCAAAGCAATGACCCTATCCCTATCGACTTCACTCAATCGCGGAATTTCGCTTTTTAATGATTTACCAACACATATGGTGTAGGAGTACCCCGGATGCACGCTTTTTAAGTGAAGAACATTTCCCCAGTGCACGGGGATAACTCATTGTCTAATCTAATTAAATTTCGTCCACGAGTCTAAAAGTTATATTGCAAAAATCGAGCTTGCGTTTCCTTTTTCCGCTAGTCTATAATCACTATGTTCCTAAAAAATTATTTTGTAGATTAAAACAGTATATACATCATATGTTGGCAATTTTTGTCACGTTTAGTGTGTAAAATCCTTCACTTGCCCCCATTAAGGAAGTGAACACTCAACTGATGAATTCGAACGTTATCAATCCAAAGAAATAATGCTGATGTTTCATTAGCGAGAACCGGTTCAGATCGAAAATAATTTCGATAATAGGTGATGTTTACAATACTTGATACAGACTAGTCTGGTAATCATGGTCGTTTTAAAGGTAAGAATCTTAATTTCCGCGTTCAGTGGTCAATAGAAAAATGTGTTTTATTAGGTTTCAGGCCATATGTAATATTAGTTTAGTATACGATCGTGACATACTTTATTTCTGTACGAATCAGGATATATAGAAATTATTTACTTTGTAAAGGAATGTAAAACGTTTGATAATGCCGAAATCAAACATAATTTGTGTGTCTGCTTGCGTACAGCATATAAAATCAAGAACAACTGTCTGTGTGTAATTCAAGGTATATTATGTGTTTCTTTGCGTGACGAAAGAAATTGTTTCTTTATTCCGCGGATGTTCGTACCGGAATTTCATGGTAGTATGGTGCTGGTTTATTTATTTATTTATTTATTTATTTATTTATTTATTTATTTTATAACAACGCAGTGTTGTTAAGAGCATACACGTTCATACCTCGTATACAGTTCATACTCACTCTCCTAAACAGATTGTGAAAACTTCGCAATTTCTCTTGTCAATATGCTAGACGTTACCAGCTTGTGTTCAAGCTGTGTTCATTAACGTCGCGTTTCACTATTGGAAGTGTCTTTGATTTCAGTATTTAAATGTACTTTTTCTAATGAAATGAAGCGTTGTTGAATTATTGATATTTACGGTAATTTCTACGCTCTTGTTAATAAGCAGAACTTTGAAGTGTGTTCAGTGAAGCAAGTGCTTTTACAATGTTAGGAGTTTTATGTAGCATTTGAAGAAAATGATATCGGGGAAAATTTAAGTCTGTTTACAGGGATATAATTTTGACAGCATAACACGGTCTCGCAATGCTTTTTTCGTGTCATTTATGTTTAGAGGCAGCAGGATTTAAAATGAGTGCTGGTATGAATATCAAGGATATAGTTTTATGGAATATAATTATCATGGATAACTTTCTTGAAGGTATCATACGTTTTGTTAAGAGAAGAGTGAAAAACAAAAACAAAATCAAAACCAAAACCCATATAACTAGAGCCAAAAGTATCACATTTCCTAGTGAAATTTCCTAAGATGTTAATATTTGTTTCTTCAAATATGATTTTAAAAAAGATATTATTTGTAGCTAATGGGTACTTCGACTTTGGCTCGTGTTTATATTTATTTAAGGTTATTGTTCTGGTGGTCGTCCTATTCATCGCCGTGGAAAGTCAGGACTACACTTGTGACAATAATCCTTACAATAACGGATGTACCATCCCTCTTGACCTCGATATCCCCTTCAGAAATTCCTTCCTTCCTGCCTGCAGGCGACATGATATCTGCTACAAATGCGTAAGTATACAATATTTATGGAAGCGAGGTATTTGATGTTAAGAGACTGAAGCTGGTTTTGTTGCAATTAAACTAAAATAAATAACAATAAGAATAATGATTGTTGTTAAAGGTCATTTTATTAATGACATGTGAAAAATTGTGACACTACAAGTCCAGAATTTTAAATAATCGATCATACTTATGACGTAAAATGAAGTAAAATGACTTCAGATAATATGTAGCAACAAAAATAGGCACCGATGATGTTCAACAAGTATTATTACAGTGTCACAATAATATTGATGGTATGATGCGAAATGACCAGAATCATCCCATCCTATATATGTGTATGTTAATTAGCAGACAACACTTATTAACGTTCTTATTCATTGATGCAGTTCACTGTTTAACTGTGAAGTCATTAATATTCGTGGTGATTTATTTTTGTTGATATCGTGGGTATTCTTAATCCGCGAATTCATCTGTCCATGAAATCTTGAAATTAGTATCAGTAGATTTATTGAGCTATGGAAATCCACAAAATAAAATATCGATGAAATAGGACGAAAATTGCACCCCCAAAAATATATTCTTTCACAGTAGATGTACATGCATTGTTCAAAAATCTGATTTTTGTTAAATCAACCAATACACATTTCTGTAATGTGATGGGTTTTTTTTTTCAATCGACCAGTACATATTTATTGGACCTTACATGAAAATCTATTTCATATAAGATCAATGAGACAACGTTAAGAATTATTTTCTTTTCAATGAGTCTTTCGCTCATATGGAATGAAAACTAAGGCGATATACTGATTATCTTAAAAATAAGATATTTTTAAGCATTCAAGAAAACAACATACTGTTAGACTGACATAAAATCGAACCTGGGATATTCCCCATCTTTATTTAGATTTTGCATTGATGTTCTGGAATGTAGCTTTGGAGAATGTTTATATCTTCTATGTAAATTAATTTGTTTTAGGGGAATCACGAGATGTATGCTGTTCGTCACGGAAGAAAGCGATGCGACCGTCTGTTCTACCAAAATATGCAGTCAATTTGTAGAAGACGAGGCGGTTTTCGGCGGTTTACCTGCATGTTAAATGCTGGTATTTTTTACTCGTCAGTTCGCGGGCTAGGAATTGGACGGATGAAATCCCGGGAACGTGTTCCTAGCTTCTGTACCCAGAGTTGGGTACGTCCATGTCTCCAGTAACGTGTTTCCACGTGTCTTCGCAGGTTCCAATTCTTAGTCACGTGTTTTATTAATCACGGGCTATACCTTTGAACTCTGAAAATACATGTTCATCGACCATCATTATATAGATAATATGTAAATTATTTTTATCTCAAATGATAAAGAATGCATTACCTAGTGTGCCGTTCGTGTTCTGTGTTTCAATGTCGTCATTGTTTTTTCATTGAAATTTAAAGTTGAATTTCCTGCCATCACTGTTAAACTTCAGTCACACAAGATGTCGAAGTAACCTTGAGGGAGGATAAATGAATCCTGATAACCGCCTGACATCAACACTTTGTCAAGCTGTTGCTGTCACTTTTTTTCAAGAGTAACTATATTGAATGAATAAATTATAAAAAAGACCAATTTCTAGTAGATAAATAATAAAAAGTTGACTCCTGTCTCCATGTCATGTTCACATCGTATCCCAAGCATGATTAGCATTCTCTAGTCCTGGCCATAAGTCTTAAGACAGTTCTTACATAAAATCACACAGCGTAAGATTATACCACAGTGATCGTGAGATAACTTGAGGGAACATGGTGAGCAAAATTTTGGCTGATCTTCATTAGAAGCTTTTTGGCTTTATAACAACGTGTTCTTATTCTCATTGTATATGGTCGTATCGACAACCATGATAATCAAAAGGACGTCCCCCTGGTATATGAGAGGTGAGTGAATATGTTATAGCCCGGACCTTACGTCGACTTTGTAGTGCTATCACACGCAAGTATACTTTCGAAGACCCCCAGCAGGACGCCAACCCTGTAACATTCATAGGCAGGAAATTTACAAACTATTTTGGACCATGTTTTATCATAGAGGAGCATAAGGTGATCTTAGATATCAAGACAAAAAAGAAACAAGCTGTTGTACTCCATACAAGGAGAGGAGAACCTGTGGCATATAATGCCAGAATGTGTTATCAAACTTGTTAGATTTAAGTTTCAGAAACCTGATCGTGTAGAGCATATGGGTCATTTGTGAAGATAGGTTATTGTATATACATGTGACGAGAGTGAAATCCTGTCTTGTTTATGACTGAGATAATTAGATTAATGCACTACTCTGTGTATGTTTCTAAAGGATCTTGTTTCTGGACATTGCCTCCAAGTTGTTGGGTAGGGATTTTGTTTACACAGCATGCGAATCTCGGGCCATAGCAACAACAGAGATGAAAACTTCCGGTATCAATTTCCAGTGAGGCAAACTGACAATTTCAAATTTGAATAAAAGCATGCAAATTATGTACAAGAAAGACAACAACAGGGAAAAAACTAAATCTACTTTTCAACAGAAAAAATATATGCGTATTCAGTACCCATGATAAATTTGTACAAGGTGTTTTTTTAATAGCATGGGTTTGTGGAAATTCGTTCTCTGAAATAAAGGCAGCCAAAGTTTTGTATCTTCCAGATTCGCCTCCCTTTTATACCCCGTCCTCGGCCTTTTATAACAACGTACTGAGCAGAGGTAAGCGTAGGAAATGAAAAAGACCTACAGTAAGTCTTTGAGCTCCACTACACATATAACCATGAGACAGGATAAATGTCGCCCCTACGAATAGGCAAGTTTTTCTTTTTAGAAATTTATAAATTTCTATCACGTCCACTTAGAACAATCCAAAGTGAACCAAGTAATCATACGGCTCCTCCGGAAGTTGTCAAGAGTGACCTTGATCACTAAAAAAACATCACCTTCACATTACGTTCCTCTAAAAGTACCCTTGATTCACTGGAACGTAACCGCCAATGTATGACTGGGACATTGTAAAACGTTGTTTGAAGAATATTGCGATTTGCACATTACCTTTATTATAACATTGATGTAATGACTAATATTCTAAATATTCTCCATCCGGATAAAGTTTTGTCTAATAACGAAGTGAATGGGTGTCCATCCCTCTCCGGGGGACATTAGTGTTACTGAGGAAGCTGAGAATCCGATCCGTCCCAAATCCTCGTGGTATTGTTCTATATTAACTTGTTGTTGATTTCATGCAATTAAAACCCTGCATTTATCAAGGTAGCAACTAGCTACTACAAGTAGAACACGCTTCAATATGACACGGCAAACAAACCTGCCTCTCCTCTTCAATTTTTGTATTTTTTTCTCGTTGTCGTTGTCGTTCTTTACACATAGTGATGGTATAACGTCATTGAAAACACAAAATAATTATAGCAGGTAAGTTTATTAAAAATTACTAAAATCAATCAAACAGATACAAAATTTCTTGCTCCAGCTCAGTATTATCTCTCATGTCATCGTTTTGATTGTCGTATTGTTAACATAAGGTTAACGTTTATAAAGTAGAGATGAGACAACACAAGTACATGTCAACAAAGATTTTCTTTCGTGATTGTCTCGAAAAATACCAAATATATTCTGTACACATTCCGGCCATTTGACCAGTCATTGGCTGAAGGCGTCCAGTTTTCATTTGATTACAGTTTTGCTAGTTGAATATAGAGCCTGAAAAAAGAAAAAGAAAAGCAGAATTTCAGTGTCAGGGAATTGAGACTGTAAATTAGCGAGGGAGGAGAGAGACTAAAGTGACAAGCCACTTTTGTCTTCCTGTCCATAAATTATAAGACACTGACGTATATTGACATGATAATTGATGATATATGCCAAGATTTTCCCGAGTAAAATTATTTGCTACAATAAATAAAACTGCTTATTTAACCGGTATTTATATTGTAAATGTGAAATCTAAACCATACATTTCGTATTTATACAATTATATGGTTGAAACAGTTTTACAGATAGATACATCGATCAGATCGCCCCCCCCTCTCCCCCAAAGGGTTGATGGAAGTACTAACCATCTACCCAGTTACTTTTACCCTGTCCTAGCTCACTATGGATGTCACATCGACAGGAAGCTTTGTTGTAAACTGTCCCCGGGGCACATTTCATCGTCACCCATCGACCAGCCGCGTACTGCTGATAATACCGGGCTCCTTTGGAGGAAGTCCTCATCCCAGTACATTCTGTCAATACATCATAAAGTATCAAGCCATTGCATAGCATTCTCAAACCAGCTGTCAAGCTTATCGCTATACCATCTGATAGGGTGAAACGAAGGGCAGTGCCTCTGGTAGATCAGAATGGCGAAAAGAGGCAAAATAACATAGACTCTCTGCAATAGATATTTGAAGTTCCAGAAAATAATACATGTAAATATACTATATAATGTTATGAGTCTATCATGGAACTAATGAAAGTTTTTGTGTTAAATACACATCTTGAACTGGAGTGTTTATTGGAATAATAGACCTATTTATGAATGTTTGAAAGAAAGAAATATATTTCTTCCTTTAAATTCAAATCGTAACCAGCAAAATTTGAACCTTTTTACGATAAGTGGGTGGTGATAAATGATGGACAATTTGAAGCAAATTTAATGTTTTTCATGCAAAGTATCCCTATGATCCCTCTTAGCACCATTTGTTTACATGATGCTGTAAATATAACAGAGTACATATATGGCAACATCTATCTACTGTTTAGCAAATAGGTATATAATTTATTATGATAATAATTGGATTTTATATTCACATGTGTGTAAGAAGGGAGGTAAACGGAATGAAGACAACACAACGGAAATGGATTTGATCGCTCACACCGGTACGGAGATCACGTCACGAGCTTGTTTTATAAAATCTGATTCAGCCATTTATGACGTTGAAGTTTTCATACGTGGTTCAGTATTTTATCATCGTATTGTCAGTATTTCAATTTCTTTTACTTTTCTTACGAACAGGATCAAGGTTATTTATTTTCAAAATCTTGCGTAATGCCTGATATTTAAAGACTGCCGCCACAAAAATAGAGTTTTGAAAAATACTATAAAGGAATGCAGCAAATGAACGTTTGTGAAACTGAGGACAAAAGGGATCCCCCACCCCCACTCAAACCCTTACCATCTGGAGGAAATGCACACGCGCAGTCCACTTCACTGAAGATAAGCCTATCAGGACATTTCCGTTCAAAACGCTTCCCGAATGATTCTCTATGGTAATACATGTTGGGAAGCTCATGTCGTTCAAGGGGACAGTTTCCATAGTTTCCAATGTTGTTGATATTGTTGATATCTACATTGTTGATGCTGTTCACATCAAAGTTGTTGATGTTGTTTGAGTCGAAGATTTCGGCGTTACTGTTGCCAATGTTGGTGAGTATAGGCGCATTCACAACTGCAATTAAAAAAGAAAAATACTTAAAGTAATTAAGTAATTAAGTTAGTAAGTAGGAAGGTAGGTAAGTAGGTTAGTAGGTAGGTAGGTAAGTAATTAAGTGAGTTAGTGAGTGAGTGAGTGGGTGAGTGAATAAGTTAATGAATTAATGAGTGAGTGAGTGAGTGAGTGCGTGAGTGAGTGAGTGCGTGAGTGAGTGAGTGAATAAGTTAATGAGTGAGTGAGTGAGTGAGTGAGTGAGTGAGTGAGTGAGTGAGTGAGTGAGTGAGTGAGTGAGTGAGTGAGTGAGTGAGTGAGTGAGTGAGTGAGTGGGTGGGTGGGTGGGTGGGTGGGTGGGTGGGTGGGTGGGTGGGTGGGTGTGTGGGTGGGTGAGTGAGTGAGTGAGTGAGTGAGTGAGTGAGTGAGTGAGTGAGTGAGTGAGTGAGTGAGTGAGTGGGTGGGTGGGTGGGTGGGTGGGTGGGTTGGTTGGTGGGTGAGTGGGTGAGTGGGTGAGTGAGTGAGTGAGTGAGTGGGTGGGTGGGTGAGTGAGTGAATAAGTTAATGAATAAATGAGTGAGTGAGTGAGTGAGTGAGTGAGTGAGTGAGTGAGTGAGTGAGTGAGTGAGTGAGTGGGTGGTTGAGTGAGTGAATAAATTAATGAATTAATGAGTGAGTGAGTGAGTGAGTGAGTGAATGAGTGAGTGAGTGAGTGAGTGAGTGAGTGAGTGAGTGAGTGAGTGAGTGAGTGAGTGAGTGAGTGAGTGAGTGAGTGAGTGAGTGAGTGAGTGAGTGAGTGAGTGAGTGAGTGAGTGAGTGAGTGAGTGAGTGAGTGAGTGAGTGAGTGAGTGAGTGAGTGAGTGAGTGAGTGAGTGAGTGAGTGAGTGAGTGAGTGAGTGAGTGAGTGAGTGAGTGAGTGAGTGGGTAAGTGGATGAGTGAAGGAGTGAGTGAAGGAGTGAGTGAAATTGAGTAAGTAGTAAATCTGAAAGTATGGAAGTAAGTTAGTAAGTAACTAAATAAGTCAGTACGTAAGTAAATACGTAAGTAAGAAAATTATATAAAGAAAGTGTTCTTGAAGATTTTGATTCAAAATGCCATGCAGAAAGTGTGATTTAGAATTAATAATGTAGATGTGTTTTCCATCACGATTATTTACAAGTATATTATCTAACATCCACCGGGCTCCAGATTAGATGTACATTTCTCACTGATTTTCTTTAAGAATACCGTGTATGTAAATCCTACTCTGGACACAACAGCGAAGATACGTAAGAATGTTTGATACTTACATTGAATACCTTCTTGTGTTTCCAGCTTGTTGAAAGGCCATCTGGCTCTGGCCTGTTCAAGTCCGTCCGTCAAACTGACGACAGTTACTGCCATCAGTACAGAAAGTGCGAGGAATTTCACCATGACGTGGTCAGCAAGATAAAACGCGGTATTTGTATAGGTGTCACTGAAAAATACCTCATATGTGAAAAAATAACCTTCCAATCACATTATGATGCATATCTTTGTTAGTCTTTTTAATCATCATTCACATAACTACAATATGTGTCATCACTCACATAACTACAATATGTTGCATTACTCACATAACTACAATAGGTGTCATCACTCACATAACTACAATAGGTGTCATCACTCACATAACTACAATATGTGTCATCACTCACATAACTACAATATGTGTCATCACTCACATAACTACAATATGTGTCATCACCGCCATAACTACAATATGTGTCATCACTCACATAACTACAATATGTGTCATCACCGCCATAACTACAATAGGTGTCATCACTCACATAACTACAATATGTATCATCACTCACATAACTACAATATGTGTCATCACTCACATAACTACAATATGTGTCATCACCGCCATAACTACAATAGGTATCATCACCGCCATAACTACAATAGGTATCATCACTCACATAACTACAATATGTGTCATCACTCACATAACTACAATATGTATCATCACTTACATAACTACAATATGTGTCATCACTTACATAACTACAATATGTGTCATCACCGCCATAACTACAATAGGTATCATCACTCACATAACTACAATATGTGTCATCACTCACATAACTACAATATGTGTCATCACCGCCATAACTACAATAGGTATCATCACCGCCATAACTACAATAGGTATCATCACTCACATAACTACAATATGTGTCATCACTCACATAACTACAATATGTATCATCACTTACATAACTACAATATGTGTCATCACTTACATAACTACAATATGTGTCATCACCGCCATAACTACAATAGGTATCATCACTCACATAACTACAATATGTGTCATCACTCACATAACTACAATATGTGTCATCACCGCCATAACTACAATAGGTATCATCACCGCCATAACTACAATAGGTATCATCACTCACATAACTACAATATGTGTCATCACTCACATAACTACAATATGTATCATCACTCACATAACTACAATATGTGTCATCACTTACATAACTACAATATGTGTCATCACCGCCATAACTACAATAGGTATCATCACTCACATAACTACAATATGTGTCATCACTCACATAACTACAATATGTATCATCACTTACATAACTACAATATGTGTCATCACCGCCATAACTACAATATGTGTCATCACTTACATAACTACAATATGTGTCATCACCGCCATAACTACAATAGGTATCATCACCGCCATAACTACAATAGGTATCATCACTCACATAACTACAATATGTATCATCACTCACATAACTACAATATGTATCATCACTTACATAACTACAATAGGTATCATCACTCACATAACTACAATATGTGTCATCACTCACATAACTACAATATGTTTCATTACTCACATAACTACAATATGTGTCATCACCGCCATAACTACAATATGTTTCATTACTCACATAACTACAATAGGTGTCATCATTCACATAACTACAATATGTGTCATCACTCACATAACTACAATAGGTATCATCACTCACATAACTACAATAGGTGTCATCATTCACATAACTACAATATGTGTCATCACTCACATAACTACAATATGTATCATCACTCACATAACTACAATATGTGTCATCACTCACATAACTACAATAGGTGTCATCACTCACATAACTACAATATGTGTCATCACTCACATAACTACAATAGGTGTCATCACTCACATAACTACAATATGTGTCATCACTCACATAACTACAATAGGTGTCATCACTCACATAACTACAATATGTGTCATCACTCACATAACTACAATATGTGTCATCACTCACATAACTACAATATGTATCATCACTCACATAACTACAATAGGTGTCATCACTCACATAACTACAATATGTGTCATCACTCACATAACTACAATATGTGTCATCACTCACATAACTACAATATGTATCATCACTCACATAACTACAATATGTATCATCACTCACATAACTACAATATGTATCATCACCGCCATAACTACAATAGGTGTCATCACTCACATAACTACAATATGTATCATCACTCACATAACTACAATAGGTATCATCACCGCCATAACTACAATAGGTATCATCACTTACATAACAACAATAGGTATCATCACTCACATAACTACAATATGTTTCATCAGTCACATAACTACAATATGTTTCATCAGTCACATAACTACAATAGGTGTCATCACTCACATAACTACAATATGTATCATCACTCACATAACTACAATATGTATCATCACTCACATAACTACAATATGTGTCATCACCGCCATAACTACAATATGTGTCATCACTCACATAACTACAATATGTATCATCACTCACATAACTACAATAGGTATCATCACCGCCATAACTACAATATGTGTCATCACCGCCATAACTACAATAGGTGTCATCACTCACATAACTACAATATGTTTCATTACTCACATAACTACAATAGGTGTCATCATTCACATAACTACAATATGTATCATCAGTCACATAACTACAATAGGTATCATCAGTCACATAACTACAATAGGTATCATCACTCACATAACTACAATATGTATCATCAGTCACATAACTACAATATGTATCATCACTCACATAACTACAATATGTATCATCAGTCACATAACTACAATAAGTGTCATCACTCACATAACTACAATATGTGTCATCACCGCCATAACTACAATATGTGTCATCACTCACATAACTACAATATGTGTCTTCACTCACATAACTACAATATGTATCATCACTCACATAACTACAATAGGTGTCATCACTCACATAACTACAATATGTATCATCACTCACATAACTACAATAGGTATCATCACCGCCATAACTACAATAGGTATCATCACTCACATAACTACAATATGTATCATCACTTACATAACTACAATATGTATCATCACTCACATAACTACAATAGGTATCATCACCGCCATAACTACAATATGTATCATCACTCACATAACTACAATAGGTATCATCACTCACATAACTACAATATGTATCATCACTTACATAACTACAATAGGTATCATCACTCACATAACTACAATATGTGTCATCACTCACATAACTACAATATGTATCATCACTTACATAACTACAATATGTATCATCACTCACATAACTACAATAGGTATCATCACCGCCATAACTACAATATGTGTCATCACTCACATAACTACAATATGTGTCATCACTCACATAACTACAATAGGTGTCATCACTCACATGATTACAATATGTGTCATCACTGCCATAACTACAATAGGTGTCATCACCGCCATAACTACAATAGGTGTCATCACTCACATAACTACAATATGTATCATCACTCACATAACTACAATATGTGTCATCACTCACATAACTACAATATGTATCATCACTCACATAACTACAATATGTGTCATCACTCACATAACTACAATATGTTTCATTACTCACATAACTACAATAGGTGTCATCACTCACATAACTACAATAGGTGTCATCACTCACATAACTACAATATGTGTCATCACTCACATAACTACAATAGGTGTCATCACTCACATAACTACAATATGTATCATCACTCACATAACTACAATAGGTGTCATCACCGCCATAACTACAATAGGTATCATCACTTACATAACTACAATATGTGTCATCACTCACATAACTACAATATGTGTCATCACTCACATAACTACAATAGGTATCATCACCGCCATAACTACAATATGTGTCATCACTCACATAACTACAATATGTGTCATCACTCACATAACTACAATAGGTATCATCACTCACATAACTACAATAGGTGTCATCACTCACATAACTACAATATGTGTCATCAGTCACATAACTACAGTATGTATCATCACTCACATAACTACAATAGGTATCATCACCGCCATAACTACAATATGTGTCATCACTCACATAACTACAATAGGTATCATCACTCACATAACTACAATATGTATCATCAGTCACATAACTACAATATGTGTCATCACTCACATAACTACAATAGGTATCATCACATAACTACAATATGTGTCATCACTCACATAACTACAATATGTATCATCACTCACATAACTACAATATGTGTCATCACTCACATAACTACAATATGTGTCATCACTCACATAACTACAATATGTGTCATCACCGCCATAACTACAATAGGTGTCATCACTCACATAACTACAATATGTATCATCACTCACATAACTACAATATGTGTCATCACTCACATAACTACAATAGGTATCATCACCGCCATAACTACAATATGTGTCATCACTCACATAACTACAATATGTGTCATCACTCACATAACTACAATAGGTATCATCACCGCCATAACTACAATAGGTATCATCACTTACATAACTACAATAGGTATCATCACTCACATAACTACAATATGTATCATCAGTCACATAACTACAATATGTGTCATCACTCACATAACTACAATAGGTATCATCACCGCCATAACTACAATATGTGTCATCACTCACATAACTACAATATGTATCATCACTCACATAACTACAATATGTGTCATCACTCACATAACTACAATATGTGTCATCACTCACATAACTACAATATGTATCATCACTCACATAACTACAATATGTATCATCACTCACATAACTACAATATGTGTCATCACTCACATAACTACAATATGTATCATCACTCACATAACTACAATATGTATCATCAGTCACATAGCTACAATATGTGTCATCACCGCCATAACTACAACAGGTGTCTTCACTCACATGACTACAATATGTATCATCACTCACATAGCTACAATATGTGTCTTCACTCACATGACTACAATATGTATCATCACTCACATAACTACAATATGTGTCATCACTCACATAACTACAATATGTGTCATCACTCACATAACTACAATATGTATCATCACTCACATAACTACAATATGTTCCATAATGGTAACATGTTCCACTAATCTCTTAACTGCAACTCTCGATTCATTATCATTCCTGTAAGGGATACTACCATCGCTAAGCCTACGTTGCATAATATGATTATAATAAGATATACAGTGTACTCCATGTTCTTTCGTGTGGAGAAAATCTTATTCAGAAGCGCCTTCGAGGTAAACAACCATTAAAATTTGAGTAAATTATCCCTTTTTTATTTATTTCAATAGACTGCATAATTCCAATAGCTTGTGTAGCTAACGTTTTTCTGATTATTACTGTAGGTTCCAACACTCCAACAGTGAAATAGATATCCCCCACACAAGCATTTCAACGCAATATGTCGTGGTTAATATTATAGAATTGGTCAAATCTATGTATAAATTACCATACCCTGGAACGCCAAGAATTAGTAACTACATTTATTGTGCACTCATACTTTAAAATTCAAAGTCATTAATAGTTTTGGTGTTTGATAAATTTCAAAACAAGTGAATTTTCTTTGATATTTATTGTAAGAATCTCCAAAACCATTCATTTTATCTTGAAAAAGAAGAAGAAAAAACCACAAACAAAAGTGAGGAAATAGTATTTTGTTCTCAAAAAATGTTGTCCCGTGACGCCTAATGCTTCAAGTACAGTATGTCCGTGACATGACACGAGTGGACGATCGCTCTGGGCGAAACTACAATAAATTAGTAGTTGTGGAATTTCTGCGCAGTTTTATAAATAAATAATTTCCCGAAATGTAAAACGTTTCTGTTCTAATAGAATAGAATAGCCTTAAGAACTAAAAGGTTATCAGATGTGCTCACCTTTAAAGACTTCACTGGATCCATATATCACTGTAGATTAGGATTCATGATTGTCCGCTTACGGCTCGTGGAAGACCCTTTTCCGCGGTCACGGTGTGATGAATGGCCGAACTGACCGCGAGTGGACACTTACACTGACAATGGTGATGATCCGGAACACGAAACTGTAAAAAATACTGACACAGATATTAACAAGCAAACGGGATATACATATCTATAATTTCTATGTAACCAACATGCATCGAGGTCGAGGAAGAATGGAGCTCACCGGAGTAGCATACACAGAAACAATCAGATTCACCTGAAAATGTAGATTTGTTTAAATACACGTCTTAGTTAAAAGTGCTTTTGTCAATACATGTATAAGTGTATTTTCATAGATATACACGTAAACCTGGAACTCGACTCTAGTGTATGTAGATGCACACACGCATATATGTAGGAAACATATCATAACCTAGATATAAAACTCGTACGAGGCTGGCGTTTCCGTGTAAATATCTATACATGTACATGCACCGTAAAAGGAGATTACGTTCGGTGACATTATAACATTGGTCAGATGTACGTTTAGGCCTGTCATACCAATAATATACATAAATCATTATTACACTATAAAACCGTTCCACTGGTACAAAAGTATCGTTAGAGCCGGGATATGTTATGTAAAAAGTAAGAAATGTCTTCCGTATGTGACAACAGGCGAGTGGTATATCTTGGTAGGTTTGATAATACAGTCAATCTGATCCACCTCACTATTCAGACCACTTTTGTCCAGTCCCCAAATTGGTCTTAATAGTGAGGTTTCACTGTAAAGCGGTATGACTTTTTGTATTTATAAAGTTTATAGGTTATTTCCAAACGCTTTCACAAAAGCCACTTAGCCAAATTATGTGCTGTTAATTAAAAGGGAGAGAGAGAGAGAGAGAGAGAGAGAGAGAGAGAGAGAGAGAGAGAGAGAGAGAGAGAGAGAGGGGGGGGGGGGGGGGGTTGAAGGGCGGCGAAATCAATGTACTATATAATTCATAGTTCAGTAGAATCAATCAACTCGTTACTTATTTCTGAAAACTCTTCCTCCTGGTCATTTCTTGCTTTCTGGTATTTCTCTCTAGTCCATTTACACACAAAGAGATCAAGCACAAGGTACACATATATAAATATGTATAATACTTTTCTTATATCTTTATGTCTTGTAATTAGTCCATCCCAACTGGATGCCTGATACGAGCCATACATACAAACATGTAGAAAAAATACAGAATCAACATAGACGACAATGTCCATTGTTTCCATTCGCCAATTACACAGAGGATTTACTCTCATTTTTCTTCTGTGCTCTCCGTAATACATTTCATCTTTTCTTTATTTTTTCTTTATAATCTAAGTATAGAAGTCACGAGCAATTCAGTATTTGACATCAATAAATAGATAAACAAATAAATAAATAATATGTTTCCCGTTAGTTATTGTGTTCATATTACATATGATCATATATATTTCGTGGACAGAGAAACAAGAATACGTTTTACATTCACTAATAACACCGACGCAACGCCCTAATCTCCAACCGCTAGAGGGCGCACACAATCTAGTCTTTGATGTAACTTTAGTTATAAATCATCGAAATGTTTGTGTATGACCCAGTCACCACACGTTTCACCAATAAGTCTCCCTTTATTTTCAACTTTTCAGTTTACGTAGCAGGTCGAAAGTCGTCATCTAAAACAGTCAGGACCTAAGGCCCTGGACCTCCCATATCACGAAGACTATATTATGCACCTGAGCAGGAAACACACAAAGGGATGCTGTACAAACACACAGAAAGGAACGAGTAACACATGTTTCACTGGCTTCATCCCCTTAACAGAACAGTTGTCTCCCTTCCACAAGTGTAAAACATAAAATGTGGCCTCCAAACAAGTTACCCCCTTTGTTCTGTCATATTTCAATATAAACGGTTATATAAATCCTTTGATAAATAAGCGAAAACCAGTTATTTTCTTTGATAAAACAATTTTACCACAATTTAGATTGTGTCCTCGACACAAGACAATTCCCTCTATCCCCATCTCCCAGGGCGATGGGCGGATTATAAAGCTTGATAATCTCCCACTCGGGTTGAGATCCCCTATCTCAAGGAGGTGAAATATCTTACTGATCTGACACCAGTAAAAGCGCGGATACAACTGTTCATAGTGATAGAAATGCAGATTTTAATATCACATGGAGACGGCCTTCAAATAGCAGTACTGAAATGAAATGAAATATTTATCTCTCTCTTGTTAGTACATCAATGTAAGTTGCAGACTTTTTGCCATAGTATTCACAGTTCCTCCTCACAAGAGGTATGATACTTCTCGTTTACTGCCCTACTGACAAGTTTTAACTACGGTTATCTCCCTTCTTATACAATGGTTGTGTGGGATTTTACATATATACCTTGAATTGTGCATAACCTGAATCGACAGATAAGGAAGTATTGAAGATAGGACGGACAACAACTGCCTCTTTTTTGTAGATACATCACACGTCCTTTCTCGGCTATTTCATTGTCGATAAAGGGTACCGGGTTAAGCGAGAGAGAGAGAGAGAGAGAGAGAGAGAGAGAGAGAGAGAGAGAGAGAGAGAGAGAGAGAAAAAAGGTATGCCTAATATAATTTGTAATACAGGGCTAAAAGGTCCTAACATGGGACATTTACTTTACATACGATGGATGGGACGTATTTTCTCGTTCATTAATTTGTCCAGCGTTTTGAAGACCCCCTAGTGTTGTCCGACCACGTATATAAGTTAGATCACGAAAAAATATCTTAGTTTAGATAAACGGACCTATCACGTAACAAGGTAAGTGGCAGTACTTTCAAACATCTTGTAGGTCTTAGTTATAAGTATTCATAGGGAAGATACAGTGTAGGGATTAAGACCTTCAAAGATTTTGGACGGACCTGATGTTTGGACATTCAAACAGCATTATGCCACGGGTATATTTTTGAATAGTCATCATCACACAGACTGATACAAACAGTATTTATAATTTTCTAAAATACACTTTATCACACGAGCTTACTTCACGTTTTTCGTTAGTTTGTCCTTATACTTCATACTACATCAATTCGTAAACTGTAATAACCGTGAAAACAAATGATGATGGTATAAATATATAGTTCTGTTTCAAAAGTTCGGTTAAAATGAAACGATTGGGTTTATCTTCTAAGCGATACAGCTGGTTTACCTTTAATCATGATCTTCTTGATTGGAATGTAGTTTAATATTTATATAGTACCGTAACAAAAAATGAAGAGTCAGCCTTTGAAATTTTCCTATTTTAATTTCTCTGTTATTCGGCTATTCGGCTGGCCTTTGATCAATATATTGACTTGTGTACTCTAGCTGGTGTCTCGATTCTAGTCTTTAATTGATCTTAAAACCCCAGTTTCATGGTAGAATAATATGAAAACTATTTTGTTATGTTTGTTTTCTTTTTTTTCACACAATACCGATGGCAAAACAATATTATGTTTACATATGAATAAATGATAGACTTTTCTTATAAGATGAACCATTAATTTTTCGGCGAAGTTGTAAATTAGCTTTTTGTTGTAGTTTAACACATTGCTTGGCTCTTCTGCATCTAGCTATAAATCTATTTAGAGGTGCTCTTCGCATTGGCATTGTCACGTTCAGACTTCTCTAAATACACCGGTGTTTAGCTGTGAAAATTTCTAAAGCGGCGTCAATGTTTGTAACAATAATTGATAATTTTTCAAGCTATTAAAAAGAATTTTAGCTAACTCGTTTTCATACGAACGGAAATGCCATTAATACATGGAAGTGAACGATGCAAGAACACCTGTCTTAGTTTATCGCCTTATTAGATCTATTTATTCAAAGGGTTTACGTCCACTATTACCTACTCAGCCGCTGACTGACTCGACCGCGTCTGTACGTCCTGACTAGTTTATCAAGCTAGGACAATAATAATATGTCACTGAAGTTATTTCAAATATACTACTATGATAGTTAAAGTTGAAAAATCATAAAGATACGCTGATAACAATGTCTTCAAGAATATCTAGATGACCTCTTTAAAATTTATTTAATTAAACTATTTCCATTCAGAGTAGAATGTAAAATGGAAATAGGTTCATAGTAACACCCCAAGTCAATTTCACAGACTTTCAATATATTTCTTGTTTTAATGTGTTTATCTTAGTTCGTATCCACAGCTTTTTTTATTATGTGAATAAGATGGGCTAAGAAAAGTGCCTTGTCACATACCACCACAGATCTCAAATTTCGAGTACATCAACAGGGTACCTTCATGCAGCGTCTATTGCCAGTTATTTCCGGATGAGAAGGGAAGCTTTATCCAGCTAATAATTTGAACATTGAATTCAAATTTAATCGTTTTTTTTAATCATTTTTCATGTCTCTTGTTTCAACATGTATGATATATAGCTCATAACAAGGCGATATGGCGGTTTACCATGGCTGTGGGCACCGATTTCTGTATAACAATTAAAACTGAGAAAGGAAAAAAAAAACAACAACTTAAAGAACCCTCAACTAGAATAGCTCATTAAAATATATTGAAAAGAAATGCATTGTCACTACCTGGGTTCGAACCTGGGACCCCAAGAAGAATGATTACCGGATGTACCATTTTACCGTCTGAACTATATACGCTATTGCAGATATTATCGACATTTTAATCGTTAATTCAATATCGAAAGCATCATACGAAACATTTTTGGTCCTTTTTTATGTTTTTGGTATCAATGCACATATATACCAGTTTTTGAGAATAGCATGATCACACTGGATTAGGTTCAGTTACATAAAAGTTGGCTCATGTGTGTACTTTGTGTCAAAATTGCATTTGAAGTCGAGGAAACTACCACGTTTTAGAGCATATTGCTTAATGTAGCAAATTCATGGTTCATTGAATTTGTTTGAAGAGAAACTCAATTCACCACCCCATGAAATCGGCAAAAGCAAGATTCAATGCTTAAGAACAGCCAAACTTTTTCAGTAAACGCATTTTAAAATTATCATTTCACCATCACAAAATGTCCGAAAGGCTCTGACCATCCGCCATGTTATCTTTCGCCTGTCGAAACACGACATTTTAATAACCTAGGAACAGATCGGCATTCAGAAAATCTTTCATATAATAACGTGATATATATGAATAATACATTGATACAAAGATCAATAATTTTTCAATTTACTTACGTAAGTGTCAAGGCCATTGACGGTCGTTAACTTAATATATAAACTATTTTCCCGCCAACCATAGTTTCAGTTACAGAAGAATAATCATCCACGAATTTGGTGGCCGTTTTTAAAAAGTGTTCTTAACTGTAGTTGTTGGGAAAATGCGTTGGTGTATTTAGTTGTTTGATTTTGACTTTCTCTCTTATGAGTGTACTGAATTTGTATTTTGTAGCACACCTTTAATATCCTGTTTCGTTCCTTAAGAATACCAATAGGTATATTTGGAATTCATAACGGTAGGTTTTGTAGGTAATTAGACTTTGATGTAGTTTTAGGTGTTGGAACTTGTCGCTTGATGCTTTATTTCCTGTCGTACGTCTCTTGAAATATCACCATAATGGTTTGAAAGCAATATCTCTTTTGTTATCTTTTCCTTTGAAAAAAAAGTTGAAAATGTCAGTAATATCCAGCCCCACTACCCCTTTTCCTGCCCCTGTATAAATATGCATTTAACGTTTTGAATCATGATACATGTTCATGGAAATTAAAAAAAGGCAGGGACACGACACGTAAATGCATACATTTAAAAAGAAAACGTGGCTGATCCGATCGTTTTATTGTAAATTCCTCCTCCTCCTCTTCCTCCATTACCTAATCCTCCATTCCTCTTCGTCGTCGTCTACTTCTCCACTATCATCACCTCTTTCTTGTCGTCGTCGTCCTCCTCCTCCTCCTCTTCCTTCTCCTCATCCTCCATTACCTAATCCTCCATTCCTCTTCGTCGTCGTCTACTTCTCCACTATCATCACCTCTTTCTTGTCGTCGTCGTCCTCCTCCTCCTCCTCTTCCTTCTCCTCTTCCTCCATTACCTAATCCTCCATTCCTCTTCGTCGTCGTCTCCGTCTCCACTATCATCACCTCTTCCTTGTCGTCGTCGTCCTCCTCCTCCTTAACTATTTCCTCCTCATCCGCCATCCTCATTCTGCCAACTCATCCTCGTCGGCGTTGTCCTCCTTCCATCTTCGTATTTCAACAACTTCTCGTCGTCCCCCTCACCTTGTCCCTCTTTCCTCCTCTATTCCCTCCTCTTCTTTTGCCTCCACCTCCTCCTCATTTTGCCTTCTGTTTTAAAAAATTAATTTAGGAATCATTGAATCCAAGAGAAAGTACCCTGTATATAAATGCATGTAATTGTTGAAGGCGATTCGTTGAACACTTAAATCACCGAATGTGTTGTCACCATAGCAAATTAGAAATACTATCGTCTCATTGCCATGATTGTTGCAAGAAGCATAAACTAGATTTCAAAAATGGGAAGAGACAAAATTTCCTTTCCACTGTGTGCTTCAAACTTTTACTTGAAAAATTTATAAAATATCTGTTTTTGTTCCATTCCTTAGTGAAGATGCATACCTTGCCGGTCTTGGCCGTTGCGATGGCCGCCATTGTGCTGCTGACAGAAGCACAAAATCTACAGCAACAGCCGATCAATGCAGTCGTCCCCAAACCATCCAAAGGTAGATAAAACTTTACACAAGCCAGCTGATCTTACGAACGATCACTTTTATAAAATAATTTCCTATCAAATATTACCATGATCAGCTGTAACCAGATGTTCTCGATATATTTCCTTATATATACTATGGCCACCAGTAGGCATTTGTGCTCGGTTTCCCATCGAAGGCCACATTTCAGAAATTGAAAACGTTGAATGTTTACGAGGTAAAGATGAACAAGGAGGACAAAAATTATACAAAAGTTTATCACTGACTTCATTATCTTAGAAGTTTCAAGATTACATTCAATTAATTAACTAAACACTAGATAATATCAGGTATATTTCATACAATTGTTGATGACAAACTAATTTTGCAGTATAAACCTCGAAAATAATTATTTTATCGCAAGGTGGGGAAAGTGCCTGTTAACTTCAGTACAGTGTAACACAGGAAACAGCTCAAGACACGTCTAGACGTCTAGATTTTAACATATTGAAGTCAAATGTTGCGACAACAAAACTCGAGGGAAATTGGTTATATTTTACATAGAAAAGAATCTTTAACATCGGCGATGATAAATGTGATCGATCTCTGTTCGTTTATTTAATGATACTATGACATCATTTCAAACGTCTTCATTATAAAACATCTACAATGGTCCATATCAGTTTGCATAAACTTTTTTCATATTGGTAATATTCTCTCTTAATTTGATTTAGATTTTTGGCCCGGACCTGGGGCGTTACCTCCCAGACCGAAAAGCACGGGGAATTTTCTGTTTCCTCCACCGATGATGAATTTCAGGCCTGGGATGAATACACGATTTCCGCCATTCATGATGCCACGTAAGACACAAAAAGGAATGTTTGGCGGAAACAGTCTTCTACCAATGATGTTTGCTACAAATGTTATAGACGAGGAAATGCTTCCCTTTATGTTGATGTCTGGCATGGGCATGTAACGTTCCCAAGAAACATAACCCACATTTGTTGATAGGAATGGTCGTCCATGTGTGAAATGTAACAGTCATTTTGATTGGTAGATGTTCTACCGCAATTCACATCCAATATAACATAAGCATTGACTAATGATGTTTGGCCATCATTTCTGTTGTCTGAGGATTATTACATTGTTCAATGAATGTAAATAAAGTAATTCAATAAACAGAAGGCAGTTTTTTTTCGTGTTTTTATGTAAAAGCTTCTGGGGAACAAATCATGAAACCACTTCGAAAATAAATCTATGAAATTAATTTTTATAGGTAAAGGGACGTAACTCTTGCTTACTTGTAATTTCTCTATCGCAAAATTTTGTGTGTTAAAGACGTAGACGTAGAGTTTTGTTTGTTTTGTTTTCTGGATATATCGCTTCATTAACAGCCAGAGTGTTTTAAGATGGTTCATCGGCCCTTTTAGTTTCGGTGACAACCTCACCACACAACGTGATGCTCGTCGCATATCATTCGCAGACATGATGACAAATACCTAGAACACACAAAACTATGATAGTACAGACCGTTCTCTGCTCCCTGAGAAATTCCAACCGCCACGGATAGGGAGCGTCGAAACAGACACCTAAAGCTACGTAGGCCAAGGCGTTATCTGACTTCAATCATCGCAATGATACAATGCAATACAATACAATAGCTTCCTAGGGTATGGTAAAATATTCAACTCAAGGTGGTGGTAGTTGACCATGTGTTGTATTTGATAAAGCCATAAGCACAAATATGTTTTATTATACAATGAGAAGAAGTTCGATATCTTTTCTATTGTTTTCTTTAAAAACAATAGCAAACAATCATTAAACGTAAACATCTATAGATATAAAAAACCCACTACCATCTGTACATCAACTCAGCGAAAACCTAAACAAAGATCAAATCGGGTCATTTTAGAAACAACCGACTTAAGTTTGTATGCTTGTTCTTATAACAAAGACGGGAACATCTGGAGCATCATCACTACCACAGAAGTTTGTTTGTTGGGTTAATCTCCTCGTGAACAACACTTTATGGGAGACCCGATGCATGTTGTCCAGAGCGATTCGAGTGAAATGTCTTGCCCATGGCTACAACCATGACAACACAGACCGGTCCGCTGATATGTATTTGTAAATGTATTAAACATAAGAGGACAATGGATAAAGCCATGATCGGGGAAATAACGAACGAGTTGTTGCCTTCAGTTGCCTTCAGTAACTGAACATCAGGCCAATTGCTCTATGTCTGAAGCACCAAATATGTCGCCTCGGAGCAAGTCAATAAATTGTAAATTATCTTATTTCCACTTTGTAAATAAATAAGAATATGATATTAATTTCATTTGACCGGCATTTTGAAGAAAATAATCTTCAGCATTTAACAAAAATATTGTCTCTTACCGATTACAAATAATTTTTGTGTAACTTTCGTGGTGTAAATATTTTGGCATGACTTACTATCAGGGGATCATTTTCTGACAGCTCTGTTGAACATGTGAACAGTGAGGTATCCGTATTCCATGGAAAACGTAGAGTTTGTCCTTCAGGGTACATCACAAGAAATGACATGAATTGATTAGAATTTAATGATGTTCATGTACGTATTTGCTGTTAAAATCAGGGTTTGCTTCCTCGGTTAAGAAAAGCATATAAGATAAAGGAAGTCGAAGAAGAAAGGAAAAGAAGTGTTACAATGGCGATGGGGATCGGAGTTATCAGATCACTTTTATTCTTTTACATGTCTAATTACGGAAAAGAAAAAAAAGCCATATCCGATTTTAAGTAGTTGACACTTACAATAGACATAATATAAGTTGTAAAGATAATTATTTCTGCACTTCCAGAGTTTAAAGTGATGACTATGATCAGTATTTGCCGGGTAATTAATAAAAATGTAATACTTTACCATTAAAACTTGAGCGCAGAATGTAGCAATGGTATTCTAGAACCGGCAAATGTAACATCTTTGTAGAGTTATTCTACATGCTTCTGACAGAACTCGATGGCCGTGTTGTAACATAGTCATCAGCTATATAGTCACATGACCTTTATTTCTTATGTATTGATGAGAAATATATTTACTAGCTTTTTAAAATAGATCAATTAAAAATGACATAATAATGGCTCAGTTGTCTTTTTTATAGAAATTAACGTATGTATGTACATGCGAATACATTTCAGTATATGTCTACATAGCGACAAGCGTACTCGGACCTTTCAGGCAGACAATTCGATATAGGAGAGATGTTTGAGAAAGATTCCTGAAAGAAGTTTCGCATTTGTGCAGACGGCTAGTGCAAGGTCAAAGGATGGTAGTCATTAATGGTCCTGAAGTGTCATAAAACTGTCCAATTAAGAAGAGATTCCAAACAATCCATCAAACCGATTGCAAAAATGAATTTTAATTTTTTGGGATTAGATTAGAAACTTTGAAAATGAAGCATTTGATCAAACCATTACGCAAATTTGAAGTAGTTTCAGTTGTGAAGTGATGTAAATTGATTTATATGAAAACGCAAAATAAACAACCCGTTGTGCCCTTCATGCATATCTTTAAGCATTAGAATATCGAGATTTTTTATTTGTAGAACGATTATTTGGTTTCATTATAAACATTCCGAAATGAGCAAGGCAACACGACTGAACAATGGGTGGTACAATATACTTTGACTTGAACATTCATACTTTTTCTTATTTAAAAAAAATTGTTATGTAGTATCTTTGCTTCAAATGGTTAAAGAACGTGGTTTTTTTAGACAGTTCAGATTTTGTATTCGATTTTCCTAATTACTGAAAATGATTGAAAATATGGCATAACAATTATTTCACTTTTGAAATTTGCATATCACATAACAAACTGCATCTAAGTGATGACGATAACAAGGGTTGTTGCATTAAGGTTGTGTACAGCACACGTCTCATACCAAGCTCTGGGCGACTATATTTCTTTTGCGTACATCATCAACCTAATTCTTTATAATTGTTAGTTCTTTGTTCAACGGTAGTGACTTGCCATTGTCCTCGTCCAAGGGTTAATCTATTTCGTTCGTTTGCATGCTTGTGCAGAACATATAATGCCATAATTACTTTTGGAATGTTTTGGATAAACATTAAGAAAATGCAAACACGTCAATATAATCATAATCCAAACCCAAATTCAATAAAACAAGGGGAATATGAACAAAAGAAAAATTTACAAGGATACGCCTGAAAATGTCCAAAGAGAATCAGACCAGGTGTTCGGAACAAACACGGATATCAATAAACTAACTAACAAGCATCACGTGTACCTTCATATCGCACAAAGAAATATGATGTTTGTCAATGAGATTACAACTCTGATGATCGGTAATGGTTGTACCGAATGGGATAAGAATCCCTTTTACACGATTCGCTTCAGCAACTAATATCCCATAACGTTATGATTTTCTAGGAATGTGAGCATCATGGCATCATCATGGACATCTTACTCACACCCGACTGAATCTCATGTCGATTAAACAAACACACTGCAGTTGGAGTGAGTAATATCCTTTCTTATTATACACATTTATGGTTGTTTCTTAGGTTTGTAAATGCTAATACAGATGCAATGTATTTTTAGGACAGGAGGAGGTCTGTATAATGAGTGACAAGTGCACTCATGACTATTTATAGACCTGAAGCTGTGTAACAGAGGTCAGATGAGATTGAGCATAGTTATATAAATATAAAATCTAATGAAACAAACAAACGTTACACAGGTAACAAAACATACTGGTACTAAGATGTGTTGTTTCTGTTTGGATTTCATACATTTCATTTGGCTTTACTTAGTATGACATTTGATATAGTGATTAGATAAGTAAATAACATTGTCTAAACATTAGCATAGATTGCTGACCATGTGTATGTTGTTGTCTGGTGGCTGAACTTATTATGACCTAGGAATAATATCCTTGATCAATGTATATTTCAGACTGTTACTTAATGAAATGAACTTTGTTAAAATGACATTTAATGCTTCACTAAAAAATGACAGCGTCTGTTCACAGGGCGATACTCCAAGTATATAAACAAATTTGCATCCTTCCGTTTCAATTATAGCTTAGTTTGATAATTGTTCCGCTTGTTGTGTCCAGTGAAATGCCGGATGTCGTGGGTAAGGACGCTAGTTGTAGTTGTTGGTTGCTAATTTGCCTGAGAGCACGTGGGAAACCTGCTAAATGTTAATTATAAAAAAAATCTATTTAGCGAAAGTCCAAGGACACAACAGTGTGCAGAAAGTCCGTGATATCCGCTTCCTAAAATAAACACATCTCTGATCAGGAATTGCATCACAAACCTCGGCAGTCTTTATCGTCTTATTGATGTAACATGACCTTGTGTGATTAAATGACACATACCTAGATACATGACCACTTGACCTGTCCAGACCATGGCTTCGGCCGATTAAATTAAGCAGTAAACAATTTGATTAGTAACAACAAACTTCTCTTACGTTGCTGGTCGTGACAGTAATTCCTTTTCGGATCACACAATGCCATTCTAAAGAAAGACTTCCACTTGGTTTGTCGTAAGTATACTTTTAGCCACATTCTCTATTTACATTAGCAGCACTCAAATTCAAGCACTTTAATTTGTTTAGGGAAACTTTTTGAACGTCCCCTTTAGATATAAAACAAAGGAGACGTTTAAATCCTTCGGGATTTACCTACCCAACAAGTGTAATAACGTTTCAAAACCACATTACAGAAATAAGCTGAACACTGTCCTTTCTCTGATTTGGCAATTTGAGGTTCATAACTCTTAACTATCACTCTTTGTTTTAATAAAAACCAATGATTTCAGACTTTCGGAAAATTCGACGAAGCCCTTATGACATACGTTGTGTAATGAACCAGACCTTGTTTTCTTGACATAATTGACACCTGCTCAGGTAAGGGTGTATTTCTGTATCAAGTTATATCTGTTTCGGTCAGACATAGATTTTGCTCATCAAAATTTTCTGGTCATTTATCAACAAGTCTTCAAGCAGCGAGGACGTATTTCTCGCGCTGAAATTCAGGAGATTTTGCTTAGCAATTTTTCTCCCGGACGAATACCAGTGTTCTTTATCAGTATCATTATATGATAGCAAGATACATTTTCC